AAAACTCAACAAATAGCTTTAGCTCATCAAAACAAAAGATGCTATTGTCGCAAGTGAAGTACATTCTCATTTATAACATCATTCATCATCAAACACTCCCAGGACAGGGACAGCACAGGGTTACAGACACAGAGTAAAGCTCTCTCTACACTGTCCCCCAAACACTCCCAGGACAGGGACAGCACGGGATTAGGTACAGAGTAAAGCTCCCTCTTCATGTCCTCTTCCCCAGAAAAACATCACAAAATACACAATGGCCTTGCCCATATCTCACCAACACCATGCAGCCTGGGAAGGACAGCCATGATGTTTTGAGGTTTGTTATGAAACACCTCTGGAGCAGGTGAGACTTGAATCCAGCTAAATCTAGCTCAGAGATGGGGACACTACCACTGCAACACAAGAACCTTTTAGGGAGGGAAAAAAACAAGTTCTACCCTTGTCCGAATATCCAGCAGCCAAGTCTGCCAGCAACAAATCTGGTGTCGAATTAGCAACGGCTTGGACCTTACATCACCTCGTTAAAATGAGTGCACGTTTTTGAGGTACGCTCGGAACACTTCCTCGGTAAAATCCAAGGTTACAGATTTCCACCACAGGCCTGGCAAAGATTCACTGCCTCAAGTAAGAACAGAGTGCAAGAGCAAGCTTCACAATTCCACAACTGCACCCCTCTCCTGATATCCTTGACTCAAGGATGGCTTCCATCAGTTAAGAGTTAAATTTGCGACAAATCTAATAGATAAGACTCTCATACCCAGCTGGCTTGCTGCAGTGAGAGTGTGTGTCTGTACTTCTGCCTCTCCCAGGACAAGCACGTTTTAGCACGGAGTCTTTTAACATGTTACCTGCAACCACCACACACTTCTGGCTGAAACTTTCCCAACTCTTACAGTCTGCAATTGACACATTCAAACAATTTACGGGATGACAATCAATCTGACCAGCCACTCCCCGCCGTGTCCATCAATTCCTGAGGTGAGATTTGAACCTGGTCCAGAGATTAAAGACACTGCCGTCTGTGCCATTCAAACCTCCAACGCACTACGTACCTTACTCTTTGGAATTTAGCAAGGCAACCTTAATGAAATATCTAAGATTCTTAGGGGGCTTGACAGGGGTGGGGTGGTTTCCCCTTGTGGGAAGAGTCTAGGGTGAAAGAGGGTGAAATTTCAGAACAGGGGGTCACCCATGTAAGGCAGAGATGAGAAGGAATTTCACCTCTCTGAAGGGAAGTGAATCTGTGGAATTCTTTACCACACAGGAGGGCTGTAGGTCGTTAAGTATATCCAAGATATATCCAACGTCAAGGGGAAGAGGCAGCAGAGTGGAGTGGAGGATTAATCGGATCAGACATGATTTCATTAAATGATGGAGCAGACTCAACGGGCTGAATGGCCTGGTTCTGCTCTTACGACTGATGGTCTTACAGAACGTAGCTTTAATGAAACAAGCTGGGAGCATTCGGTGTTGGATTAGGAGAAAAAAATGAAAACCCGAGCTCTATAGGTATTATTACGTCTGTTAGCAGTTAAATGGGGTGATTGATTAATTCGGCGTTTGGTAGATGTAAAGGGGAAAAAAAAAAAAAAAAAAGAGAGATTGGGACTGGCTTGTGGAAGGAGCTGTAAGACTGAGTAGTTAATAAACTTTACAGCTCACCGACCGTAAGATATAGGAGCAGAATTAGGCCATTCAGTCCGCTGAGTCTGCTTCGCCATTCGATCATGGCCGAAGTTGCTTGGATCCAGATTGACACTGTTGCCCGAGAGGCAATGATTTAATCGGACAATGCCGGGAAGCCTCCTGCTTGCATCTGGCATTGTGGAGACAGACAGACAGACAGACAGACAGCAAAGAGGAAAAAGACGACCCTGGGTATTGAAAGATGAATTTGAAGCTATGCTCAGATTTTTGACTGGGGACAGAAACAAAGATTTAATTTGGACTCATTAAAAATCCCGTTTGCAGAGAGAAACTGAAACGGGGCAGGATTCCAACAACAGAGGCACGGGGAGGAGGACAGTGTCAACGGCCAGGGAGAACACTGGAAGAGATGGGAAATCAAGTGGCTCTTGTCTATCTCCATCCTAAAGATGGGCCCAGAGTTCGAGAAGATGCAACAGATGTGGATTCAAGAAACAAGGTTGAGTTTATCCAGGGATTGGGATGTAGTCATGGAGATGACAAGTGCTGGTATCGACAGGTTAGGGGGAAATCAGATTCATAGAAGCCCTACAGTGTGGAAGCAAGCCATTCAGTCCAAAGAGCCATCCAAACAGACCTAGCCCCCTACCCTATCCCTGTAACCCTGCATTTCTCATGGCTCATCTACATAGCCTGCACATCCCTGGACACTGGACAATTTCCCCATGGCCAATCCACCCTAGCCCGCACACCTTTGGGCTGTGGAAGGAAACCGGAGCACCCAGAGGAAACCCATACAGACACGGGGAGAATGTACAAGCTTCACATAGATAGTTGCCCGAGGGTGGAATCGAACCCAGGCCCTTGGCGCTGTGTGACAGCCTCCCCACAAATGTTCCAGCTGAGGTAGGGAGACAGGGAGAGATTGGCTGCTCTGGAAGGCATCCGCTCCATTTCCATCCTGTCAACTGAAATTATTCCCATTGGGAGAGTTCCCAAGTCTGGGATCACAAGAGAAGACAGAATCAATCTTCCCCTCTCCCAACCAAACTGCTCAAAACCCAGGGTTCCCAGGAAGTTCATACTGAAGCAGATTGAACAAATGGCCCTCATTGTACCTCTGTCTCACAGCCTTTAAACTCCCTGTGTTCTCATCACAAATCACCACGCTGTAGGAAGGGTGTGACCGCATTAGAGAGCGGGGTATTGAGGAGTTTCACTAGTGTAGGGGCTGGAGGAGGTGACAGAGGTAGGGAGGGGATGCAAGGGCTGGAGCAACCCCGCTATAAAGGAGGGACTAGATTGACAGGGGCTGTTTTCCTTGGAGCACAGGGGTCCAGGTGGTCGGGGGGGTGTGGGGGTGCGGTGCGGGGAGGAGGGGGTGGAAATCTGCTTGGGGGATCAATAGGAATAACACGATCAATAGGAATAAACCGCGTGAGAGAGAGGTCAATAACCTGGGGGTGGGGGAAAAGGAGAATAGCAGAATTTGTGTTCATCGAGTGGGAATCTGGAACTCACTGCCTATAAAGGGTGATACAGGCAGGAACCCTCATAGCATTTAAGAACTATTTAGATAAGCGCTTGAAAAGGCCCATAAAAATAGAAAAAGGTCAAATGGTGGAATACGGGATTAGAGAGAGTAGAGAGTTCAGGGACTTCGCAGGGATGCAATGGGCCAATTTCCCCCTTTCTGTGCTGTAATTCTCTACAACTCTATAGAGTCGTACAGCACAGAAACAAGCCCTTCAGCCCAACTCGTCCATGCTGCCCAGATATCCTAAACTGAACTAGTCCCATTTGCTTGTGTTAACCTATATCCCCGTAAACCCTTCCTATTGATGTAGCTGCCCAAATGGCTAGGTGGATTAGCCATGAGAAATTACCCATAGTGCCTAGGGATGTGCAGGGTAGGTGGATTAGCCATGAGAAATTACCCATAGTGCCTAGGGATGTGCAGGGTAGGTGGATTAGCCATGGGAAATGCAGGTTTGTGGAGATAGGATAATTCTTTGGAGGGTCAGTGTGGACTCGATGGGCCAAATGGCCTGCTTCCACACTGTAGGAACTCCAAATGTTGTAATTTTACCTGCCTCTAAAGAAATAAGAGAAGGCTTCTGGTGAATGGAGGCCATTTAAAAACCAGTAAAGGCCGATCGCACGGAAACCCCACGTACACAACCCACCTCCCTTCAAACCACGGCAACAAACGCAGCTGGTCCACGTCTGGCCCTGATGGCACAGAAGCCTAGACCTTCATGCACAGCCTCCCGCGAGCAGGCACAGACAGTTGGACATTCACCTGGGTAGAAGTCTTTGGACTTGGAGAGTTTGATCGTGGCACTGGTCTCCTTCTGGAGCTGGACAATCGTTTGGCCTCCTTTTCCGATTATAGATCCTGCAGCATAACTAGGGATCAAAACCTTCAGGAAAAATTCGCCTTCTTCTGTAAAGGAAGAGGAAAATACATATTTCACACCGGAGATCAAAGTACTGCTTGATGTGCACAATTTGATTTCCACATCACATTACAACAGGGACTACAAGGACTCAAAATCAAGTCCTTTACTGAATGGAAATCACTTTGCGATGTTCTGTGTACATTACACAGGAGGAAGATATTTTCTTCTTTTAGAGATTCCTACAGCACAGAAACAAACCCTTCAGTCCAACCAGTCAGTGCCGACCATAATCCAAACTGAACTAGTCCCACGCCTGCGCTAGGCCCATACCCCTCCAAAAATTTCTTATTCATGTACTTATCCAAATGATTTTTAAACGTTCTAACTGTACCCGCGTTCACCACTTTCTCTATCAGTTCATTCCACACACGAACAATTCTGTAATAAAAGATTTGTTCAATCATATCTAAAAAGATGGTCAATATCAAATATGCAACATCCCGGGACTGGCCCAAGGCCTAGGAGGAGGCTGTGTCGCCATCGATACCAATAGGCCTCTGGCTTTCTCACTCAGAGGTCAGTCCTCAAACTCAGCAGGCTGTCGACTACAGAGCCAAGGACCATCCTATCCTTATTTTCCATGTGGCCCAGAACATAGCAGCCAGAGGCCATTCAGCCCACTGTGCTGGTGCAGGCCCTTTGAAAGAGCTGTTCAATTGGTCCCCAGTTGTTATTCGGCCCACCCCCAAAGGCCTGAAACTTCTTTTCGAATCTCTCCTGCACACCCCTGCCCCCTCAGCGCCCCCCATCCCCTGACCACAGTCTGATATGGTTACTGGGGTCTTTTCCTCAGGAAAACCCCAGCCTCAACTTTTCCAAATTTCCTTCCCGTTGGTACCCCCGCCACTCTCTTCTCCTCCCGTGTCCATATTTCTTTGATGTCGGTGCTCGAATACATGGGACAAAAGGAACTGAATCAGGCCATTCGGCCCAGTCAGTTCAGACTGGTGTTTATATGCTCCAGTCAAGTACGAATTTAAAAAAAATTCTTCATTTACAGAGCCGGTGAGGCCAGTATTTATTGCTCATTCCTAATGTCCATTTATTGTCTATTCCTAATAAGGTGGTGGTGAGCCGCCTTCTTGAACCCACAGTAGTCTTCCTGCTGTGGGATGACCCACAACGCCCTTATAGAGTCATACAGCACGGAAACAGACCCTTCGGCCCAACCAGACCGTGCCGACCATAATCCCAAACTAAACTACTCCCACCTGTCTGCACTTGGCCCATATCCCTCCAAACTTTTCTTTTCCTTTATTCATTCATGGGATGAGGGCATCACAGGCCAGGCAGCATTTATTGCCCATCCCTAACTGCCCAGAGGGCAGTCAAGAGTCAACCACATTGCTGTGGGTCTGGAGTCACATGTAGGCCAAGCCAGGTAAGGATGGCAGTTTCCTTCCCTAAAGGGCATTAGTGAACCAGAAGGGTTTTTCCTGACAATTGACAATGGACTCAGTCATCGTTGGATTATTAATTCCAGATATTATTGAATTCAAATTCCACCATCTGCTGTGGCGGGATTCAAACCTGGGTCCCGAGAGGTCTAGGCCCGAAACGTCAGCCTCTCTGCTCCTATGATGCTGCTTGGCCTGCTGTGTTCATCCAGCCCTGCACCTTGTTGTCTCGGATTCTCCAGCATCTGCAGTTCCTACTATCTCTCCCGAGAATATATATCTGGATTAACAGTTCAGTGATAACACCTCTAGGCCATCAGCTCCCCCTTATTCACCTACTTATCCAAATATCTTTTAAATGTTATAACTGCTGGAGAGGGAATTCCAGGATTTTGACCCAGTGACAGTGAAGGAACGGCGATATATTCCAAGTCAGGGTGGGGAGCGGCTTGGAGGGGAACTTGCAGGGGGGTGGTGTTCCCATGTATCTGCTGCCCTTGGCCTTCGAGATGGAAGTGGTCGTGGGTTTGGAAGGTGCTGCCTGAGGATCTTTGGTGAATTGCTACAGGGCATCTTGTAGATGGTACACACTGCTGCTACTGAGCGTCGGTGGTGGAGGGGGTGGGATGTTTGTGGATGCGGTGCCAATCAAGCGGGGGCTGCTTTGTCCTGGATGCTATTGAGCTTCTTGCGTGTTGTTGGAGCCGCCCCCATCCAGGCAAGTGGGGAGTATTCCATCACACTCCTGACTTGTGCCTTGTAGATGGTGGACAGGCTTTGAGGAGACAGGAGGTGAATTACTCGTTGCAGTATTCCTACAGTCTCTGGCTACAAAAGCAGGTCACTGTGTTTATGTGGCTGGTCTATGGAAATACTGCTGGATTCTGTTCACCTCCAAGACCATTCTTCATCCAAATGCTAGCCCAGAACAATATTTTCCCCCTGCCCGAGTGTGGGCTCCCCGTTCAGACTTACAGTCACCACTTCAATCAGCTTTCCCCTGCCATTTCCTCTGAGATTGTCTGACCCAGATATCCAGTTCCATTCGACAAATTAAAACCAATTAGACACTGGGGAAAACACAAAGTCATTTGTGGTCTATAAACTCATGAGGGGCATGGATAGGGTGAATTGCTGAGGTCTTTTTCCCAGGGATGGGGAGTCCAAAACTAGAGGGCATAGGTTTAAGGTGAGAGGGGAAAGATTTAAAAGGGACCTGAGGGGCAACTTGTTCATGCAGAGGGTGGTGCGTGTATGAAATGAGCTGCCAGAGGAGGAAGTGGTGGAGGCTGGTACAATTACAACATTTAAAAGGCATCTGGATGGGTACATGAATAGGAAGGGTTTACAGGGATATGGGCCAAATGCTGGCAAAAGGGACCAGATTAATTTAGGATATCTGGTCAGCATGGACGTGTTGGTCCAAAGGGTCTGTTCCCACGCAGTACATCTCTATGACTCCATAATGTAATGTAGCTGTCCCAATCTGTAATCCCCTCTGCAGCTCTCATTAGTGACAGTACCTTAGCAACTACCCGTCCCTGGTTATTACAAATGCAACTGGCTCACTAATGCCCCTTTAGGGTGGGTAAGGATGGCACATTTCCCTGTCTGGCCTACACCTGGCTCCATACCCGTAGCATCAATCGTCAAATCCGAACTGCCCTCTGAAATGGCCAAACATGCCACTCAGTTCAAGGGGCAACTGGGGACGGGCAACAGCATTGCCAGCTGTGCCCACATCCCCGTGGAAGAACAAAAGGAGGTGCTACAAAACGTGAGTTGTTGTTGTTAAGTGACCTGTTCAGACACTGCACCAAAGACTGAGCTTTGGTTCCCTTCAGACAGTTAGGGAGAAGAGGCCATTCAGCCCCTTGAGCCTGGCAAATCGACTGTTGGATTTCACTCCACATACCAGTGATCACCCTCCCTCTCCCACCTGCCAACATTATTTAGCAACAAAATGAGATCCTTCAGTCTCAATCTCTCACAGATTTTGTTGGGAGTGGGGAAGGTAAAAGAATTCCAGGCCAAGGGCTGGAAAACGAGATTCGAAGAGATGGATGGTTTACTGCTAGCACAGACAGAATGGGCCTCTTAGCACGTCATTAAAAACTTCCATGAGATTTCCATCACTCCCCCACCTCACAAACTGTATGTTTAAATTTAAATATTGAAGCCCCCTCTTGCCGTGGTTTTCAATCCTCCCCACACTGCTTTTGGGAGGGGGAGCAGGGGGAAAATGGTCTCAACAGCAACCTGCATTTAGATAGTGCCTTTGAAGTCACACACCAACCCAAGGTGCTTCACAAGAGCAATGCACAAACAACACCACAATGCCAAGCCACCCAAGGTGCTCTTCTGACAACTTGCTCAAAAAGGTGAGGATTTTTAAAAGTTTTAGCAAAGATCTGTAGCTCAGGTTATGGATGAGGTTGCTGACTTGCTCGCCGAGCTGGCTTGTTCTCGTTCAGACATTTCGTCACCATGCTGGGTAATATCATCAGTGGAGCCTCCGATGAAGCGATGTTACTCTACTCCACTTGGTATTTATACTGTCTGCTCGGTTATGGTGAGTAGTGTCATTTCCGGTTTTGATCTGTACGGGTTTGTATATGGGGTCCAATTCTATATGTTTTTTGATTGCATTACAGGTGGAGAACCATGCCTCTAGGAATTCCTGTGTGTGTCTATGTTTGCCTTGGGCTACTATGGTTACCTTGTCCCAGTTAAACTGATGGCCTTCATTGTCCGAGTGTACAGATATTAGGGAAAGTTTGTTTAGTAGGCACCTGCATATAAAGCGATGCCTATTAAACAGGCAACAACAGGAGGACACAGTAAGCCCTAACACACTGACCACACTGCCCTACATCAGGAACATATCAGAACTGACAACCAGACTCCTAAGACCACTAGAAATCACGATGGCCCATAAGTCCACAGCCACTCTACAACAAACACTTACAAGGATTAAAGACCCCATTCCTACAACATGCAGAACCAACGTGGTTTACAAAATACCATGCAACGACTGCCACAAACATTACATTGGACAGACAGGAAGGAAACTAGCCATCAGAATACACAAACATCAGCTAGCAGCAAAATGGCACGATGAACTTTCCCTAATATCTGTACACTCAGACAATGAAGGCCATCAGTTTAACTGGAACAAGGTAACCATAGTAGCCCAAGCCAAACATAGACACGCACGGGAATTCAAAGAGGCATGGTTCTCCATCCATAATGCAATCAAAAAACGTAGAATTGGACCCCATATACAAACCCATACAGATCAAAACCGGAAATGACACTACTCACCATAACCGAGCAGACAGTATGAAGTCCAAGTGGAGTAGAATAACATCGCTTCATCGGAGACTCCACTGATGATGTTACCCAGCAGGATGACAAAACGTCTGAACGAGAACAAGCCAGCTCAGCAAGCAAGTCAACAACATCGAAGTGAGGTGGGTTTTATGAAGCAACACAGTGAGGTGGAGGGGTTCGAGAGGAAATTCCAGAATTTGGGATGCAGGCAGCAGAAGGCATGGCCGCTAACCATGGCGGTAGAAGAATCCGAG